AGCTGCGAGACGATCACGCGCTCGGTGCCATTGATCACGAACGAGCCAGTCGGCGTCATGAGCGGCATCTCGCCCATGTACACTTCCTGCTCCTTGACCTCCTTGACAACCGGCTTGGTCGGCGACTCCTTGTCCAGGATCACCAGACGGACCTTCGCGCGCAACGCCGAACAATACGTCAGGCCGCGCTGCTGACACTCCTTGACGTCGAAAGCTGGCGACGACAGCGCATAGCTGACAAACTCGAGCCGTGCAAAGCCGTTGTGCGAGACGATCGGAAAGACCGATGTGAACGCCGCCTGCAACCCTTCCGGCTTGCGTTGCGCCGCCGGCATATCCGCTTGCAGGAAAGTGCTAAATGATTCAAGCTGGGTGGACAGCAGGAAAGGAACCGGGTGAACGATAGAGCGCTTCGCGAAACTCTTGCGAATACGCTTCTTCTCGGTGAAGGAATATTGCATACGATCTCCGAATCACGGCGGGATGGTTCATTGCTCCGACAGCAGTGAACCGGATTGCCCGAGTGTTCACCGACTGAGACCCTGTGGCCGTCCAGATGCTCGAACGGACCAAAAAGCTTGGTGGTTGGCCGCTACCAACCGCTGGCTGACGGCAGCGGATGCCCATATTGCCCGCTACCCGACCAAACTTGCCTTCTGCAGTCGCTTCAGAAGACAAAGAAAAGGGGATGCTCATCGCACAGCAGCCTTTTCTTTGGCTTCTCTGACGATCACGGTGGTACGGGACATGCACAACGCCCACCGGATCCACAAAGCGCAAAAAGGCTGACGGTCCGAAACCGCCAGCCCTTCGCGCGAAACACCGAAAATTACTTGATTTCAGCTTTCGCGCCAGCGTCTTCGAGCTTCTTCTTCGCTTCTTCAGCCGCATCCTTGGGCACCGCTTCCTTCACAGGCTTCGGTGCGCCGTCGACCAGATCCTTCGCTTCCTTCAAGCCCAGGCCCGTTAGCTCACGAACGGCCTTGATGACCGACACCTTGTTGGCACCGACTTCAAGCAGGTTGACCGTGAATTCGGTCTGCTCTTCCGCCGCTGCCGCAGCGCCACCGCCCGCACCGGCCGGGCCCGCCACGGCCAGCGCGGCAGCCGACACGCCAAACTTCTCTTCGAACGCCTTGACCAGCTCGTTCAGTTCCAGAACCGACATCGCGCCAACGGCTTCCAGGATGTCTTCTTTTGCAATTGCCATTTAAAAATACTCCCAACTTGGAATTTGGATTCTCAGCCAACGATCCGCGGCTGGCCGGGCTCGCGCCCAGCCGCCCGTCAAGCCGCTTCGCTCTGCTTCTTCTCGGCCAGCGCGGCAAGCGCGCGCGCGAAGCCGGAAACAGGGGCCTGCATGACACCCAGCAGCTTCGCGAGCAGTTCCTCGCGGCTCGGGATGGACGCAAGCGCTTGCACGCCCGCCTTGTCCATCACGTTGCCTTCGTAGGAGCCGGCCTTGATCACGAGCTTATCGTTGGTCTTGCCAAAGTCATTGACGACCTTGGCAGCCGTGACTGCATCGTCCGAAATGCTATAGATCAAAGGACCGGTCATCTGCTCGGCGAGCGGCGCAAACAGCGTACCCTCGACCGCGCGACGCGCGAGCGTGTTCTTCAACACGCGCAGGTACACCTGTTGCTCGCGCGCCTTCGCACGAAGCTTGGTCAGATCGCCAACCGCAATCCCACGATATTCGGCCAGCACGATGGTCTGAGCTTTCGCTACCTGCGCAGAAACCTCAGCCACGACGGCCTGCTTATCTTCACGATTGAGTGGCACGTTTAACCTCCAGATTCGGCACGCTGGGTGTTCGCTTCGATCACGTCGCGCGCCGCGTTTCATAAACGGCGTCCGAGGTTGTTAGGAGTATTTCCACCGGCACACCTGCTACGGTGCCCCCGCTTCTATGCTGCAAAACTGTTTCGGGTTCGCCATCTGCGTTGGCTTGCAATTAAGGTCAGACGATACTGCCGCCCTTCCGCCAACGGTCTTTGACAACCGGCCGCGCCGCCAAACCGCCACAACGCGACCGCCCCAAAGCCTATGTGCGGTGAAGCGCGACAGCACCGCGCTTCACCGCGTGATTCACCGCTACGCCGCGACTGTGCCCGAATCGACGCGCACACCGACGCCCATCGTGCTCGACACAGCGATCTTGCGTAGATACACACCCTTGCTCGTCGCCGGCTTTCCCTTTTGCAATGCGTCGACCAACGCCGCCAGATTCGACTTCAGCGCGGTCGGCTCAAACGACGCACGACCGATCGTCGCGTGGATAATCCCCGCCTTGTCGACACGAAATTGCACCTGACCCGCCTTTGCATTCTTCACCGCGGTCGCAACATCCGGCGTAACCGTTCCAACCTTCGGATTCGGCATCAGGCCACGCGGACCGAGGATCTGGCCGAGCGTACCGACGACGCGCATCGTATCAGGCGACGCAATCACGACGTCGAAATTCAGGTTACCGGCCTTCACTTGCTCGGCCAAGTCTTCCATACCGACGATGTCGGCGCCCGCGACCCTCGCCTGCTCCGCCTTGTCGCCCTGAGCGAACACCGCAACACGCACGCTCTTGCCAGTGCCGGCCGGCAGCACAACCGCGCCACGAACGACCTGATCCGATTTCTTCGCATCGATGCCGAGCTGCACTGCAACATCGATCGACTCGTCGAACTTGGCCGTCGCGCATTGCTTCACCAACGCGAGCGCGTCGTCGACCGGATACAGCTTCAGGCGATCAATCTTACCTTCCAGTGCCTTCAGGCGCTTCGAAATCTTAGCCATTTACACGCCCTCCACGGTGATGCCCATCGAACGGGCACTGCCAGCAATCGTACGAACCGCCGCATCAAGATCGGCCGCGGTGAGATCCGGCATCTTCGTCTTGGCGATTTCTTCGGCTTGCGCACGCGCGATCTTGCCGACCTTGTCGGTGTGCGGCTTGCTCGATCCCTTGTCGACCTTCGCAGCCTTCTTAATCAGCACGGTTGCCGGCGGCGTCTTTAGGACGAACGTAAAGCTCTTGTCCGCGTAGGCGGTAATCACGACCGGCGTCGGCAAACCCGGCTCAAGGCTCTGCGTTTGCGCGTTGAACGCCTTGCAGAACTCCATGATATTCAGGC